TCTGGAAACTAAAACTGGAAAGCCTATAATGAAATTGTTTTATTCTCCTAAATGACTTCCGGCAGGATGAAACAGTTTTACGTAGAACCTACTCCTTCAAAAAGGCATTTATATGCCAAATGTAATCGAAACACGGACATTTAAATTACACTCAGTAGAGAAATTTCCTCATAATTGTTCAAAAGAATCAAAATATGCAAAGGGGGTAATTTCTTCGACCTACTTATTAGCGACAAGTGTTCATGCCGTCTTCGAAGAGTCCATTCGTTGGAATTGGACGAAAGCGTTCCTTTCAGTCTTCACAAGTAGAAAATTTGTTACCTCCACCGTCATTTTCATCAGAATTTACTACGCTTAACGCTACAGCATTAACGTAAAACACACAAGACTAACGGGAATGTAAACGCAACTTTCCTTACAAATTACTGCTGGTCATCACTTAGCCCAGAAGACAGAAGCTCTAAACTACTTGGCTTGCGTTATTTTCGTATCTTTCTGAAGAGATACAGTTATTTTCGGCTATACCGACAAGATATCACTGAGCTCCTTATATCTAGACTGTTTCCACACATTAAATACTCTTTAAAACTCATGAAGCGGAAATTTGTTCTCTTAAAACATACAGCAGTTGATGTTACGGATATCGATACGTCTTGTTCCAATGCGCCTATTTCCTAAATGATATACTGCAGTCTAGAGCGTTTTAGGTTAAATTAGAGATATATGTATTTTCTTAACTCTACAGGGAAGACTTAGGCACATTGGAATATGTACTTTCCCTCCAGTATGTTCTCTTTTTCTCAAATATGAAGTAGTTCTTAAGTGAAGACTTAAGCAAGTTGGAACACCTCTCGAGTATTTTCTTATTTTGTTAAATGTGAAGTTCAAAATCAACAATATTACAAACATAGAATATAATTGGCTGCATACAAAAAAAATACTTAATTTACTTATTTGGTGAAAGACGCCAAATCTGAAGTAGCGCAATCTGATCAAAACTGGCCTAATAGCAGTTTTATATTTTTACTATTCGGCACGATCGAAAATGTAACAATTTGTTTCCACATTTATACAAAACTTGTTCAAATATTGCATTACTTCGCTTTGGAAATCAATATTACAATATTTCTTGGCGAAGAGTTTGGCTTCCTATTTAGGATTGATGTCCATTAAAGGTACAATTACATTTGTCGAATTATTTTTTTCGTTTCTCGAAAACAAATTTCAATGATTTTGCAAATCAGCAGGCATCGATTCTGAAAAAAATACCACAACTTGATTTTGAAATTATGTACGTCTAAGTCCACTCCATTTTCTGACTCACAAAACGCAGCAAAAAGATCTGTATGCTCCGCAAATATTGACTCCTCAAGTGGCAAAATAATTGCCAAAAAGGCCATCGAGATAATATTAGGATTTACAAGCTATCAGGCTGGCATGGAATCAATCTCTGTGGGAAACCTAATCACAGGTGCTCCCGAATTACCAATGGCGCTTCGTATTATACACACGGTTAATTTAGAAAATTCGTTGTCTACGTGAGGTATTTTGGCATGGGGAATCCCATGATTCATTTGAGAAAGCATTCAACAGTTGTCAGCCTAATGACATTTTTTATTGCTTTTCTAACTTGGATATCAGGGGGTCCCCTCCAATTTTCTAAAAACGAAGAAAACAAACGAGACAGAAAAACAAATAGAAATGAAGGGAAAATCAGTGGGTATGTGGAAAATTATGTATTCACTCTCGATCTCGTATGCGAGAAGACTACACGAGACTGCTCAAGAACATCTCTTGCGTCAAGAACGTGGTCGAGAAAGAGGGAACTCGATATTCTGGTAACCAATAACCTAGCTGCAAGCAGTTAATACCGATAGAAAATTTCCATTCTGCGTACACTATCGTTTGGGGCCTGTTTTTTTTTCCTTTTTTTTTTTCTTTTCTTTTTTCTCTCCAGATATCAGCAATCGGATCATGTTATATACTGAATGTTGTCCTTTTATGAATTCTTTCAATACGAGCCTTCTCGTGTGAGATACATTTGACCTTATATTCAGCCATTAATCTTGGAGACAGGTGGTATTTGTGTCTACCCATTATATGTCCCGTAAAGGGAAATTGGCCGTTACATTCTAGTCGGTCACCCAACCAGGAACCTGCGATGTCTCGAATTCGCTTAACATGTGTGACAAACAAATTTGGCTAACGACGTCGGTTTTTCCGTCGCCGTGGTCTTTCAGTAGAACTATACCAGCATTCGCCTGGATGGCCGAGGGAAACCACGACGGACCACTCCCGCCGGCCATTGCCAACCTCGTCTTCAATTGTCGCAACGCTTCTCCAAGGCCCGGAGGGCGTCGTGCGCTTTGCGCTTTCGGAGTAATCCTCCATTCTATCAGCGCGGGACTAATCCTTCATTAACAGGATGTCATATCTGTCTCGCCGCAGCCAATTGTCAAGAGGACCACCAAGTAGCATATCTGCAAACGCGCCCCTGCGTCACTACTCAGCAGCCAGAATAGGGAAGGAAATAGAAATGGGGTAGGGTTTAGGACACTTCACAGGGGGGTTGGACTAGCCCCTGTGAACCATGCAAACTCGTTTTGTCGTAACAAACTTCACATAGGGTTCTAGGGGAACCGAGCCCGGTACCTCGGTGGTGAAAAGCAAGAAACTTCGCCACCGAGTTCTTCTAAATTTTTGTACCCTCTTTTCGAATTGCTTCCGGATGATCCTTAAAAATGTTTATTTATTCTTCCTATGTCTGGTACCAGCATAGCTCCTTAGATTGTTTTGAAGGAATAAACACTTTGGGCTTCCACCATTGCACCTTCGACTGTTTCCTTTCATTAAAAACGTTAGTTTGTTTTAGTTACCTTATTGCATCTTTTTATCGATCATTGTGACAAGTTCGTAAGGACCGCCACATATTACATATTGTGACACGCCCACTACCACCCCTATTAATATTACTTGACTTTATTTAATTTATGGGAGTGGCTCGCTCTAATTTTAATCAATGCTTTTGGGCGCTCACATACTCATCTCACCTCAGGCTATCTTCATTTTATTTTCGTAGGTTGAAAATCGCCGCTCGTACAAGTATCCGACGGTGAAGGTTTAAATTTGTTAGGAAATGTTTTATTACTTATTCTTTTAACTAATTCTAATAAATCAATTAGAATTTTGTTTTGAAATTGTGAGCAACATGGAGTGTCGACTGCAAAATTAATTTGATTTTGATATTCTTTTCATTTTTGATGTTTGACAAAAAAACCAAAAAACAATCTCTTTATATTATCTATAATTTTACATATATTTGATGGCCATCGACTATTCAGAAAATGACAATTTTCTTTCTACCTTAAATTTATCTCTTATAAATTAACACATGTCTTGGCCTTGCTACACTGTTTATAAAGACACTTTTTTCTTTGTGTGTGTGTTTTTTTGGTGAATAATTTGGATAAGCATGAAGTAACCATTCACGAAAGACGAAATTAACAATGAGATTTCTTGACGAGTGCCGGAGTTGAAAACAAGAGTGGATTTTATTTTATGTGAACAGAAAATCTATGTACCTTAGATTCTCTCTTGATCGTACAGTATTTGCCAAAATTTTATAAGTGACTACTATTCTAGAACTTACATAAAAAAAGTCATGGATATTAAATTGCATGAATTACTTAATAATATTAATCGAGTTTGTTTGGAAAATCACAGTGTAATGGAGTTACATCACAAAAGTGGTGTAATATTGGCTCACAATGATTTCGAGAATGCAAAATTTAGCATATTGGAAGTACTTTTCTTTCCGAATATGTTGGTTCCAAGTCAGTACAAAGCACAAAGCTGCTCTAAATGAAGAGAGTTGTTGATATCAGTGATTTAAATTTTGATTTGCTTAAAGTGTAATATCTTGATAGAATTAAATGTGGCGGCTTGAAATTCCTCTGTCAGGTGAAATGGGTATACTCTATGGAGTATTTGAGACATTAGTTTAAACCTCTAATACCCGTTGTTACTTTGATGTCACCTACCTATTTTACATCTTTTTATTTTCGATCAATAACATTTAGACCCCTCTGCACATGGTAATGCGAGGGTAACAATATGGTGGCACTATCTGTTAAGAAAAGAACTGTATGTGATCTGAATTTCCTTCGTCAGTGTGTCACTAGGCAACCGGGTGACCCATTGCAGGACAGTGTTTTTTTCACATGCATTTACAGTGTTTATGTATGTCCTAATTCTCTTGAAAAATCAATAGTGGTAGAATTAAGTTTATTTACTCATATACATGCTTATTGAATTAGATTATTTATTCAGTATGTATTTAAATAGAAACCGTGTTTGTTTCCGTAACGTAACATTGGGCACCTATGTAATATGACTCACTCTTCAGGTGGAATGAGTAGAGGTCCCCAGTGTTGTGCTCTACTACAAAAATGTGTGCATGGCGTTGAATGAATGGATCCCCTGATAACATTGTATAGCACTAAAATCAAATCCAAAAAATTGTGTTTATCATCCATCTCTTGGATCTCACTATTGTCAATTCATGGATGCTTTACAGAAGAGATTGTGAAGCTTACAGGATAGGAAAAAGAAATGAACTATCCCTGCTACATTTCAAGTGAGTGCATAGAAGAAAAGAGGAAGTTCAGCATCATTGTTGGAAAGAAAAAGAATTGGAAATAAAAGGAAAAGAGGACCAGCATGCATCACACCAGAGAAAAAAATGAGGAATGAAATACACCACTGGTTGCAATTTTCTGAAGACATCACTGCACGAAACCTATTTGCAAGAATTCCAATCTATAGGAATCCCAAAAGTAAAACGTTCTAAATACAGCCTCGCAACTCTCCAATTGCTTTGTTCAATTTCACCCAAAATATATTATTTTACAAGTTGTACGACTCTTTACGGTTTTAAGACTTACTTGTACAATGACTTTACTAGTAAAAGAATAAATACATAAATAATATGTTTATTTTGTGCAGAGATGAACATTATGCACATTTTGACCATTTTGCTAATAAACTATGTATTTCTAAAAATTAAATGGGTTTATTTTTAACAAATGTATATTTACTCATAGAATATGTTCCCCAAAGAATTACATGCTTCTGAACACAACTGCCCAATGTTACTTTAAAGTAACAAAGCATTTTTGACATATTAAAACTTTAAAAAAATTGAGTATCCGAGGGTTAAGGTAAATATAACAAAGGTAGTGACAAATGGATTCTCTTAAATGCTTTGTACTGGAAGGCTTAGATTTGGAATAATTTCCAGTTTTGTTAGGGTGGAAGGTTAGTGGAAAAAACAATAAATGGGACAAAGGTTTTTGGATAATTGAACTTTTTAAGAATTATTCGGTTAGAGGCCAATAACTGCACTAGAGAATTTGGTAAGAAAGGAAATAAAAAATAAGTAAATTGGTAGTAACAGCAGGTCCATTGAAAGAAGAAGAAAAAGAGTACAATATTTTTGGAACAATTAACATGTACTAATAAAATATAGTCAGTATTCATAAGAAAGCAACATAAGATTTAAAATGCTCTAATAGGATGAAATTGTTGTTCCCCCCTTCATGTATGCAAAGTTTGATTAGGGTTTTCAAATAAAAATAAAAATAACACACAAATCGAAATCAAATAACAATCTTAAGGAAAATCAAAATGAAACAGCAATAAAAGAAACAGAACTGAACAGATCCCAGATGAAATAGCTGATCTACATTAGATCTCAAATTGACCGTTCTTATGTTAGTCAAGTAATTATCTATGGGAAACACAAGGATACAAAACAGAGTGTACTGGAGGCAAACTCATTAGTTCCAGCATCAGTGGGGTCAATTACTTTTCTGGTTAACCAATGCATGAATAACTAAATATTACCCTACATTAAAGTAAAACAAATGGCAATAAACATTTCTTCACAGTAGCAGTCTTTTATTGTAGACAGTCTCGAGACAAGACAATAGATTTGATAAATTTAAAAAAAAAAGATTTTAAAAATAAATAACATAGTACATTTTGTGTTCATGATAGTGGTAGTGTACAAATCTCATTTGGTAGAGTGAAGATCTATCAGAGTGTACATCAAATGCATAGAAATTTATCACAATCTTCTTATAAGTATACATTTACAATAAGCATTCACATTAATTATGTAGTGCTCCCTTAAAACAGTACAATTAAAATGTATCACAATAAAATATTCGTTAAAACTTACTTTAAAATATTCTATTCAGTCTACAAGCATTGAAACACTCAACCAGACAACAGTGAGGAACGTATCAATTTGTACAAGCAGTTTTAAGTATTTAGATAGAAAGAAAGATATCTTTTTTGAACAAAATAAAAGCTATCAATAACCATAAACAAGTACCCCAAACATCCATAGCCAGAAACTCTGTGTGGGTGTGATAATATGGCTCCCAACTCCAAGGGAACTTGTTCTTTGCTAGTTCATGGCCTACATATAGGATGAGAGGATTCATACCTGTAAATAATCAGTCAATGATAAAAACCTTTCAATACTGTTATGAGGCGGTAACCACATTAATTTATCTCATTCCCGTACATGCACACACAAACAAAATTCTGCATTATTTAACCTTTGAGAAAATTATTATACAGGTATATTCATTTAAAATGTCCCAATACATAAAAAAAACAAAACATAAATGATAACTGAATAGAGCTCTTACAGTGCGAAATGAAAAAAATTGCCTTTTGTGAACCATAAAATGAATATACTACAGTAGAACTCCAGCAACCTGAACGAATTTGGGTGTGGTCTGTTCACATTCAAAAATGTTTGATTTATGAAAAAAATGTGCTGTACATCTACAAATATATCTATAAAGTTACCACACAATGTAATGTAGCGTGCAATGTAAGAAAATGGCAACACAGCATAGCAATCGCATCTTCTAGCAGATTCAATTCCTTACAGCAAAAGGTTACCAATTTTGCAAGTTATCCTAGTGAACATTACTGCTTCATAAACATGTGATATACACCGAACTTACCAGTGCAATAACCATATCATTTCAACAACTTTTGTTTCAATAATTAATTATTCAGTTCTACAGTAATTATAAAATCTTTTCTTTACACTTCAAATGAGTATTTTATTTATTTTTCCTCCATCCCTATTTCTGTTTGAATTATCCGAAATTTCAGATTTGCGGGCTTCAGATTAGCGAGGTTCTATTGTGTAAATGAAATTCTGATAAAAATTCACTAAAAATAAAACCTTCAAATGCATGTACAAATGTATTCACAGATGTCTGACAAACTGCTTACCTGCATACAAAAACGGATGACCATTCCACCATTTCCCAGCATCTACTACAAGATACAGCACACTTAACAGTAAGAATGCAAAACAAGCTGTCAGCAATACAAAAGAAACTGACCATAGATTCTTATTCACAGGTATCCAACCATCATCTTTTTGGAATCTGCATAGAACAGCTGCGACAATGCCCTGTTTCCAAATAAAAAAAACAACATTTGTCTGCAGGTCATAACAAGAATATAAACACATGACACAAAATTTTTCAGATATTTCAAAAATCATTACCGCTGTGTAACCACTTAACAAGAAAATATAATAACTAAAACATTTTGCAGATATGTTTTAGTGCAATATCAACTATTATATCCATTGTGGATTGATTATTTTCATTCTCATTTCCCTAAACACAAAATTTCAGCTGAAGCAATGAAATGACTATAATTAATTTTCCTGGAGATGTTTTAGCGAAAGTAGGAAAATACAAATCTAAGTACAAGGAAAATGAGCTACATTTACTATAAGGAATGAGAACATTGAACTTACACAGAAGATTCCCCACACACACCAACGTATCACTCGAGACACTGAATAGTGATAACTCAGGAGTACACGACCAGCCTGTACTCCCAAATAAACATTTAATACTGCAGTTAATGTTCCCAACAAACCTGAAAATCAAACAATAAAATGTTTAAAAGTTTCTGCTTCATTGCATGTGAAAACACCACACATTTACTGATTGATAATATAATAGAACCAGATGTGGCTCTCCATTTACTTTGAATCTGCCACTTCCCTGAAAATGAGTTTTCCAACAAGGTGCATGAGCTAAATAGTTAATGGAGATGTAGCCTTCTTGAAATGACTAATTCAATTAAAAGATGACTTTAAGAAATTTGATTTCAATACACTGAATAAAACAAGTAATTTGTCCAAAGTAAATTTTTAAAAAGTATTCTGAAACAAGAAATTTAGGTCAGATTTAAGGAGTAGTTATTTAGAGAAATTTGATGTGAAAAATTAATATTTAAGAAGATAAAATTATTTACTTTGTTAGTTTGTTTTAATACTAGATTAGCATGGTATTGGAAAGTAAAAGTGGGACACAATTAAAATAACCAAATGATGGAAATATATAAAACCACAATTAAAGATGTTGTAAGAACATGTCAATCTTTATCCCCTATCCAATCTTGATTCATAAATCTATAGGGACAGATATTCAGTAAAACTCCTCTTTTACACTTTTCATAGCACTGTAAGGAAAATAGTGTAAATTGTGGGAAGTGTAAATAAGGGGACATTATTTTTTTCTTTGAAACTGTGAATACTGTATAATGAATTTAGATGCATACAATCAATAAGGATTATAATATGAGTTAATATGCAATTTTAGATATGTAATAAACAATTTCACAAGGTCAAATAAAAATCTGACCGAAATTTACATTAGAAATCGAATGCGTATTAACCGAAGCATAGTGAATTTTAGATGCCTCAACAACACTTCCAAAAGTTTCTGCCATCCACTGATGGTACCACTGATGTTGCAACAATGTACACATTGTTGAATGAAGGAAAGGAAATTATATTTCTACGGTAAGTCAAAAAAATACTAAGTTTACATTTTGGAGGATGATGTAAAACATGCAAATACCGATGAAGTCAGCTGCGTCGATGCCTGTGCACACGTCACATAACATGCATTGTAAATTAACACTGTCTTATGAGAAAAGGAACACAACCATAGACTAAGGAAGTACATAGTTCATTACTCTATGACACAACTGCTCTTGGTGTTGTGCCCATAGCTCAAGCAACAATGCAAGTCATGATTCAGTGCTTTCAACGTGCGACACCCACTAAGCAAGTGTTGGCAATAACGCCACCCAACACAATGCTCATGTAAGAACAACCTTATATTCTTTCTACCAATGCACTTTGGTAATTTTTTCTACCTTTTTAAATATCTCGGTAATGTCATAAAATAAAAATTTGTAGACACCTAGCTATTCAATCATTTTTACTATACTTAAATATTCTAGTCTTCATGTAACATTTCATAACTCTTTATAATATCGCACCATTTCAATAGTCTTTCTATTATGGCTATTTTTGACATGGCAAGGTGGCGGGAAAACGCAGTGGCAGTGCCAGTTGTGCATAACGCGAAGTGCTTACCAGACACTGTCATTGCAGGGCGGACTGTTGTAAATTGCAGGAAAATTGAAATTGTACTATCATAAATGTGGGGTATTTTTACATTATGAATATACGAAAACTGATGGCACCAACAAGAAATGATGTAAATGCCGGGAAAACGTAAATTGCAGGAACGTAAAATCGGAGTTTTACTGCCTGATTAACTCATCTTAATCCTGATGACAGACATTACATTGGCTCTGCAATGGTGCAAAGTTACTATCACTAGGGGACATTTTATCAAATTCCTTTAATTCATTACAAAATCCCACTTTTTCTCAACTTCTCAAACTTTAAGCCATCAACCGAAAATGGGGAAATTTGACTTTACTGCACTTTTAGCGCACTTACAGATATAAGGTTGGCACTGCTAGAGCTGATGCTTTTAAATAAATTAATATTGCACTCCACTCTTAGCCAGATCTGTACTAGAATCTCCATACAATAATAATATTATGTAAAACTTGAATATTTTAAACCTGTCCTTCATTCTATATTTTAATTGTTCGTTGTAATCATTTTTCATGATCAAACTGATTTCCTTCAATGTTAGTAATTATCTCATATCTGATGTCTCAAAATCATTACAACGATATGCAAAATCTTGTTATTTTTACCTTCTGGATCAAATGGTAGAACAGTCTGATAGATATGTCTGAAGGTTGGTGTCTGATATATGTGATCAGGCCCAAGAAGAAGTCGATCCACATATCCAGCTGCTCCTCCAGTACAGTTTTGATAAATATCACCTTTAGGAACACTTGAGTCCAATCCACCTGGACCCAAGTAACCTGTTGGACATCCTGGCACAGGCAGCAGAAGTGACAAGACAACATGTATCCCTGCAAGAGCAAGGACCACGAACCACTGTGCCCAAGCATCAAGGACATCCTGCAACTTTGAAGCAATGAATGATTTTTAAGTTAAAAACAAAAAATTAAATAATGAAACATTACTATTAATTGGATTACTATTAATTGGTTGAAGTAGAGAATATGGGACAACTTAAAGAAGTCAATTAAACTAGGAGTTTGAGCTGGTGAGGCCACAAAAAAATCGACTCAGGGGGTGAGTTTGGAGGGGTTTTTGAAGGAGACCTCTTCAGTGGGCTGAAGTTTACACATCACACTTACTAACATCATGTTTATTCAGAATTTGAATAAAACTCTTAAGTGTGCAAAGTGAGTTTATGCATATGTGCTATTCTGAAACTTGCATCTAGACCACTTCCTGTGCACAAATCGAGATGTAAGAGATGCAATTTGATGTGTCTTGGTCTCCTGATGGGGAACTGATAATTTGTTTCCAGATCCACACAGATGATTCAAAGAAACTTCCAATGCCTCCTAAATTGATCTATGCAGTTGTCTTTGATTAAACACCAGTACCCAAAGGCAATTTTTGTTCAATATGCCACAATTTTCTTTCACAATGTAGGCAACACTGGCATTGACATCTTGAAGAAAACAATTGATTTACCAAGAATATTGCACTGCAATTTGATTTCAATTTAGATACGAATTATTGTATTTAAAAAAACTATATTTGCGAAAACCTATGAGCAATATTGCCTCAGAACTTATTAAACTTGAAGAACTTCAAGTTAATATGGAGAAAACAAAACTGTGAGTGATGCTAGAGAATGAATTGCTCTTATGTTTGACTTCACACTTTTACTTTCTTACAAAAGTGGGCAAATACCAATTTTCAAATGAATGTGACTCACAAATTATTCTTATTAAACTTAACATACAAAAGTCACTTTTTAATGTTAGATTTGCATGCTATGCTGGATTCACAAATTAATAAGCAATTACAGAAGTAGAAGTGAGCACAAATTAGCCTGAGTTTGTGAAGTTTCAATCTCTTCAAAATTTGGGGAGACAAATATGAAAATGTTAAGAAAATCCAAGAAAGAATCACGTGTAGTTGTAACAGATTTTGCGACAGAATTTTCGAAACTTATTGGAAATGATCTGCATTTACCATCTGTGCTAATGCAAATTTGCTATGTACATTTATGTGCATATTAGCAAAAATCCATAAAAATGTAGGTGTACTAAAATTTAACTATTAGCATCATCAAAACTGCAAGAATGCACTATTAGCATCAAAATCAAGTATTTGTTACGGCGACTATCATTGAAATTAAAATGAAAGCAGTTCATATCCTGTATGGAAGTAACATACAAGGCCATTGGATATTGGGAACTTATTAACGGGAGTATTGCATTATCAGCTACTAAGATGTCCAATGCCAGACACTGAAAAAACATACAGTAAATCTCTTCTTATACATTTTGCAGAGGACTGAAGGGAGCAAAATGCATAAGTGAGAAAAACGCACGACTGAAATTGATTATTACGACCAAAATAAAAATTCAACATTTTTACACTGTCGCTTCACCAGTTCTTTAGCAATATCTATTTTTTTATTGCCACTCTCCCTCCCTAACTTTTATTTTTTTTATTTCATCTGATATCGAAACGGGTTGCCTTTTCCTACAACTCTTTTTTGTTTAATATTGCGGAAGCAAAACCAGAGAGAAGACGAACTATACTTTGATTTAAAAGCAGAGCCACAAATTCATTACAACACTGGTCAGCTTGGATAATATATTGTCGGCCAAAGGTCATCATTGAAGAAGTCTCTCCTGAGGTGGAGATAAAGGACAAGCAAAGGAAACCTTACCGATAACCTTGTGCGACTCAGTTTCACTGCGGAAACGATGGCCATGTCCTGCATGGGTTACAACTGGCCGCAGCCACACGCGACTGTTGCTATGGTTTCAGCATGTTACTTGAGATTACACAGGTCAAAGCACAGCGTTCTACGTGGGCGTCAGGAAGCGCACGACTGCCACAGCCCCGCACGGAATCAATTTCATTAGCGGCTTATGCCATGCCGTTACTGAACAGATCTTGCATGTTACGGCGAGCAAAAGAGCGTTTGGAGACTGGGACTAACTTCCTCGCTTATTGGTCATCTACATCGTTACTCTCTCCCGGAGATGCCTTTGACCTTCCCCCAGAGCTCATCACCTCCTGAGATCTTCAGAACTCTCGTATGCACTCGACTCAAATTTTTCAAAATTACACTGCCGGAAGTGGCCCCGGAAACTGACTTTGTGCTACAATTCTGTAGACTCTCGCGGTCAAGGTGCCTCAGCTAAGCCAAGTCGAGTTTCATTAGCAGGACGTCACCTCAGAGGCTGAGCGGCAGGTCACTTCTTGGGACAACATTGGAGCGTACTGACTCAAGTAACATACAAGCTCTGGGCTCTCGGCGTGGGTTGCCTCGCGCCTCATGGTGATCATTTGAATGCTATAGTCTTAAAGGGACTTTTATTATGAACACGTAAGTGTGAAAAACATATAAACATAAAACGCACAACTGAAATAATTTAGTGTGGGAATTATGGAAATTTATACAGAACTTACCAAAAAAACAACGTATGAACGTGAAAAACGTGTAAGTGAGAAACGTATGAACAGAGTTTCACTGTATTTGAGCAAAGCTGGGCATGAAATAAACCTTTAACCCATGAAACTATTTTTAAAACAGTTTACAACAATGCCACAATTTACTAGTATGTCATATTACAGGAGTAATTTTTCACGAAACATTTACCGACTCCATGACTTTACAAATGCATATCCATAAAAATTCTCTGATGTAAATATTGCTGACCATTATGCTTTATTTTTACACTCAAATCTAGAATTGGAAAACAATAAAAAAGTTCTCGAACTACTGAGAATGCAATGGAAAGAAACATTAATCCTCACATGGTACCATGAAAAAAATACTGTGTTACAAGTAGTATGCTGACCATAAAAAAGGCATCATTCTGGGGTAGGTAAATAGTATCCCTTGCAGTGGGAGATAGAGTGAACAACATACATAATACAGTATAAATTATAATAAGCTAGATATGGGCAATATAAATAATTCATAAAAATATGACTATTGTAAGAATTTTAAGGCTTCGAGATTGGTCAGTTTCATCAGTTCTCAAGTGAGTAATTTTATGTTCAAGTATTGGATTGGAGGACCATTACTATTCTGTCTGATGAAGCGAAAGTTGCATAGTTGTTATTTTACAGTTTTTGATATCAATTCTGATTTAAAGGGCTCAAAGTGATAAGTTACATTAAACAGTTACACTTCTAGTGCTCTTCTGATACTCTGTGATTGGATGAGGGATGGATGTTTGTGCTTTTTTTCTGTAATGGTGAAAATATATGTAGATAATTTTACATGTACCAAAAGAGGTGTTTGTAATTAAGTGGATTAAAACAATGAATTGATTTTGACAGCATTCACATGTGTGTGTACGTACATATTTATATGTACAGTTATACATTTGGCCATGCAGAAACAGTTGTGTGATGGTTCTGAATGAAAGAGTCCTAAGAAAGAGGGTACTCCTCTTTTGCATAAGTGTTCTGTGTGGGGTCATGGCTCATGAAAAGCAAAATAAGAATGATTTGGATATAAGTAATGATCTTTCTTTGGATCATGAAAATAAAGATTGAATTTATTATGAAATATCAGCATTTAAGTAAGAATCGTCACCAATTCTGTTAAAAAGTGTGTCAATATGGCTGTGAACTCAAAGGAGGCCCATATGTAAAAGTGAAGATAAATGAGAATAAGTTGCATTAGTGCAAAATAACGTTATGGAAGAGAAAGATAGTTTGAAAGTGTCGAGTGGAAAACAAAGAGTGCCTCTTTGAAGGACATTAACATGCAGCAAATACAAGCCTCTATTTTCCAATTAAAGTTTAAAAAATTGAAGCTCCTGATTGGATAACAGTGCCTCCCCTCCTAACTCATCAACTATAGAATAATTGGAAAATAGTTGTCAAGTCTCCTCAAATCAGGACTGTGTGTTCTTGGAAACTTGAAGTCTTAAAACTGCCGAAAATATGAAAATTTTCAGCATTTTGCTGTAATCCTTTGTTATAAAGGACTTGAAACAGAAACACACACACAAGCCATACAGAAGTCATTAGGAGTGCAATGAAGGAAACTTGGCACAGCGCAACAACCAATTCAACAGATACTTGACAGAATGTGGTTGGAGGCCCTTTCAAAGAGGAGCAAGACTTCAATAGAGAGGTTCCTGTCCTTCCTCAATACCATTTCAAACTTTTACACAAGAAGAAGAAATTGCATTTTGGTAATTTATACATTTCTTTCAGAACACTTTTCATAATTAGGTATAAGGAGCCCCCTCCCTCTTCTCTAAGGGTATACCAGATTCTCTACTTAAACCTACTAATTTATTTAAATAAAACTTTTTCAAAGTTTTGCTGCCTAACTTTTTGTTAAAACAAATATAAATTTGTAAAGAATAAATATGAAACTTAGATAAATATACCTGAAGTGTAAACCAACGTCCATACTGGAAGCCCTGAGGCTTAAGTGTCAAAGCCTCAAGGGTGCCTACAATTAAATATGCAAGGCCAATTCGTTGTAAAACTCCAGGTAAACGTAACATTCGAAGATCTGTTCGTTTGCAAGCTGACAAAGTATTCAAAAGCAATCCAAGACCAAACAAAATTATAGATCTTTTCACAACTCTCGCCAACACTTGTCGCCGGCGAAGGGAAGATCGTAACTGAGATCGAAGTGAAATGACAAGACTGACACCCATTATCCACAAGAACCTGCACACAAAAAAGTTATGTTTATAAAAATATTAATAACTTAAGGGTGTTACAAAATAATTTTCTGAACGTCAAAAATTTTAGCTGTCGAGAGTGATATCAGAGTGTGAACAGACAGAAAAAGTAAAGTATTTTGCAACATTTTGAAATATCAGATTGCAATTGGAAACCCAAAGGATTTTTGTTTACCTATTTTGTGTTACAAAAAAAGTCACTTGATAACAGAAACTTCACTTTATGTGAAGGAGGGAAAAGAAAACAACAACATATTGTAACTGTTGACTTCATAAATCAAAATTGTATAAGGATAATCAACGAGAGCATTACTAATAATAAGAAAAACTAAATATTGAAAAGGAAACGATGCAATTGATAGAATTGAACTGTAAAATCTTACCAATACAACTTACCAAGGGTAAACCAAGTCAGCAACAGTAAGTCCATTCCATGTTGAATGTTTGAAGAACCAATACTGACCTCCTCCATAATTAACAAATATCATAAGTGCAATGCAGATTCTACAAATTCACAGAAACATTCAATACAAATATTTATTCAGTACATAAGGAATATTTTCAAGTACTTTCAATAAAAGGGAGCATTGAAATTACCCTCGAAAAACATCTAGAGTTGCAACTCGAGCTCTTTGTCGTCTAACGGCTGGCATTACATCAGCTCTAGTCATAGGAGGTCCTTCAGCAGAACTCGGGCTTCCTAGGTCCTTCACAGCATAAATATGGAATTATAAATATCTATGATTAAATTTGTTTCACTTAATTAGATTATAATAATTTACATTAAAGATTTTGGAGTTCCTTTAGCAATGTTATAAATAGACATTGGATGTTTAGGAAAATAACTACTTTTTCTAATGAACATATTTAATGGCTTTTATTACATCGTCCCTATTTCAAAAAACTGTAGCAGTGTTTAAGATTTCTTTTGTTCAAGAGAACATAATTTAATTTTCCCACAACTTCATATTCTGTCCATTAATTAAAGATTAGAAATTAAAAATAAAGTAATTTATTTCTCTGTTTTTTAATTAATTAAAATGGAATTATTTAAACTCAGAATTGTTGGGGTTATTTTGGAAATAATAGGACATTATTTGCAGCAGTATTCTACAAACTATTCTAGTAATTTGTGAGCAAGAATGATTAGTTATTTAGGGTACTCAAATCAAAAATCTTCCTTAAAACATTATTTACAAATGTAAACCAAACGCACTACTATAAAGTGCCACTTATCTCTTCCACAATTCACTGATTTGTAGTTGTAACAATAATCCATAAAAGAAAATGCTGATCTCCACCCATGAAATAACACCACCCTAGCGGTAAGTTACAACAATACTCCAGAAAAGCACACTACACTATTCAACACACTTATGGGGTCCTCTGATCTGGGATCAACAACACATACATGAGAGACAAGAGACAAATAACAACGCTTAAGGTGGGACTTGAATCTGCAACACTTAGGGCCGAAGCACTGAATCGGTACATGCTCTTGGCGACCTTGGCCATCATCATCATCATTATTATTATGTTAGAGAAAGTTCAATTAAAATAATTAAAACATTATGTACTAATTAGTATCTATCTATAATTTGCGCCCCAAGGTTAAATTCATTAATTTTCTCTCAAGCTATAATTACAACTTACAATTTCAAGCAAGTGCAATGAAACAGTTTTAGCAAAATAGCATATTAGTGTATTTTCCCCTCCAATTTCAGTGTTTATTATTATTATTATTATTATTATTATTATTATTTTAAATTTTTTACTTTCATTGTTTTACTACCATTTTTAGATCTCGAAAATGTATGTTTTTAGTGCCTTAATATCCAAATTTTGGTTATGAAGGTCAAGAACCACATTCTTGCCATTTCAAAAATATCATGTCCAACATCAAGCTTAGTAGTATAAGAAGGATACACTTAAAACATATTTATACAATTTTTGTATCTTTTGTTATAAATAACTTTAATACCATATTGTTATATTTATTTTGCTAGTTTTCAAACTGAACAAATTTCATTCCTCAATGCTTTTTGGAACTCTTGATATATAAAATAATGAATATTCTTCAATAGAACTGAACCATAAAATCTTTCTACAACAAAAATAATGCATAAACTAACTCTATATTTGATTTGATTAGAACTACAGAAATGAGTTTTATAATTTTATCATTAATTCCAAATAAATGTGTATATTATTACTGCACAATAAATTTGCAGCAGGCTTTGATGGTACTTTCATTTTCATTAAAGGCTTTAAAAAAGTTTACAATATACAAACACATTGATAAGAAGAAACCAATTACCATAATGAATGGAATTCTTACAAAGCTAATTATGCAAACGAAAGTAATGCTTTACTTACACTTTCCAATTCTGAAAATGGATGATTTCTTTCTCGAAGTCGTGCCATCCATTCAGAATTCATTGCACATTTTCCTAAATTCCAGATCAAAGATAATGAAAGGAAAATAATAAATGCACCAATGATAGCTGCAACACAATAAAGAGAAAGAAAAATATAAAATTAATAGTTACTCATGTTAGAAGCATATTTCACATTACACCTGTTTCATGTTCACTTGAATTATAGAAATTTCAAAATCTCTAATAATGCTTTGAAAATCTTCAATAAAAATATTTTTCATGGCTTATAAAATCTTGTTAAAGCACATTTATGAATGTGATTTAATTCAGATATGTTTCCAAATTTAAAATTTTTTGGTAACACAGGATACTATTAATTCAGAGATTTTTCCTTTAATGAGAGCCACACTGTGCATTTAATATTATGTATTTATTTAAGGACAATTTTAACATTAAATTTCCTTTCTTAATATTATTTCAATTTCAGTACTCGAAACATTTAATTCAAAAGAAGGCAAAACATTCTGTGATTGCTAATTATAATCAAATGATGAAAATTGGGGAATAACTTTAACACAAACAATGTTCGAAGACTTTCACTTGTTCCTCACCAGTTTCCCTACCAGATATCATTAAAAAATAAATAAATTGCATTATATTTTGAAAGTATGGAGAGAATTTTAATCTATCAGCTGCACCATGTTACACATGAATTCACTGAAAGAAATGTAAAAATTACTTTGAAGATCTACTAAATGGAAAGTGAAGTTCAAATAAGAAACCCAATGTTTATGAACAAATCAACAAAAGGCCAAAAACAGAAGAAACTGCAATGTTCAGAAGCTGCTTTTTTTCTTCAAATATTAACATCCCCTATCAGAAAGAAGTATACTGTCTGAAACATAAATGTTTTCCATTTATAAGAATGAATAATTGTAGCTTTCTTTGGCTTTCTTCTTCTTTGGCTGAAGTCTAGTATTCGATACAACTTAAGGAAGGCATTTAAACCGGCACTTCGCGCCGCTCCAACGAGAGGAAAATCCACAGTGGAGGGGACGACAGGTGTTTATGGGATTATGAGGGAAACGGGAGGGATGGTGAGCAATATACGTAACACATACTTATTAACATAAGCAAGACTTGGGAGGTATCACCAGCAAGGATCCTAGGCAATCGCAACAGTGCAATTATAATGATAATATGTAATTAATATTATTATATACATAATTAACATTATTATATTCAATATTAACATTCTATGTTTTATGAACATTTTGAGTTATATTAAGAAAAACATTGCAATATTTTGAATGTACTTGATTTAATTTTTAACACAATGTTTCAGTATTCTTTATTTTAATTGAAATTACAACTCGATTTTGATGCAACATGATTAGGGTGTAGTTTCAAAACATTCAGTTAAAAGATAAGTGTTATCAGATATCAGCTCTTCCCAAAAATGTTTTCAAACTGCCAGTCAATGAAGGTTATTACACTATAACATAAGTCACAAATTTACTGCTACAAAATCACCAACTACTAAGAAAAATCTACAGCACTACAGCATGCTAGCAAAATCTGTCCTTTTGTGTGTATTATTGTATCAAAACTAAGTTAAAGTTAAAAATTCTCCTCACTACTTCAGTGACAAGAAAAATACTCACGCAGAAAAGGGAATGGAGGTTCTTCTATAACAGTAACTGGGTTGCAGCCTTCTTTGGTGATATTCCAACCATACACCCCATATTCCTCAAAATGATATGTAATACTAAAATAAACAAATATTGGAATAAACTCGATTAATAAATTGAAAACATGTTAATTCAATTCTTAATAATGGTTAGTAAAAACGTATAATGTTACTTACCCACAGTCAAATTTTTCTTCTGTCCCACTGTATACAAAATTCAAAGGGTATTTTGTTTCCACAACTAAAGAAATATTGCTACTTGGTGGCATTGTGATCCATGGTAAGTATTTACACTGTAAAATATATTCATATTAAATGGTTTACTTAGAAACTGTTCTCTGACAAGTTATTAACAACACTATACATTACCCCATGGCATTCATCGACTTGTTTCCATAGTTTTAATTCATTTGGTATGTCAGATGTGACGTGAAGACAAGCTTCATCCATTTTCAGGGCAGTGAAATTGCATACCACATTCTTTCCATTCGTTTCCCACATCGCGACTATATCAGCTTTCGCGGTGAGAGAGAAAAATTACACAAATATTAATCAATTTCCCACCAAAAAGTTGATACGTTTTCTATAACATAGTCACTGATCTCAGCACGAATTCATGAAATGTTATTACAACCCGATTACAGCTTCACTATGCAGTGTTTACAGATATCGCCTGTCACAACAATTAGTAATCAGTAATATAAATAAAATTCTCGGCCATGAAAATTTACAAATGTGTTTACCGAAGTATTTCAGCCACAGTGATGTCTCTGCATTAAAACATCGCAAAATATCATCCAAACAAAAGGAAACACACAGACTGTCCAACATGATTGCGGTAACGTTCTGATACGAAGCTATCCATTCTGGTTATTCAGTTGTTAAATTGCACTTCATTGCGTAGATACACTTGAGGGTTTTTATCTCTTTATTTGCCACGTAGAATTTAGATTTCCTTTAAAAAAAAGCAGTCGAATACCGATAAACATTTTTATAAAGTTGGTAGCACATTAGAAGATATCAAGGTGAGGAGAGTGAATCATGATCAGCAGCAGATGTGTCATCTGCTTTTAAAGTAAATTGCAAATTAAGTTTTCAAGAAAGAGATGCATTTATATGTCTGTTCTAGGTATGTCTTCAGAGATGGCGCATTTCCCTATTTTAATTTTTAAGTCCACAATTTGCACAACGATTCTTAGCTAGATAAGCAGTGGTATTATATTCTATATCCGCACGTTTCCTTGAGCCACGGAATACCTTCTCTCACTCTTTTCCCAACATTGGTTGCATCAAGAATAAATGATAGCAATGAGCGTTGTAGACAAAATCTGGTGACGATAAATGTTCATTCCCGTGAATTAAAAACAATTTGGCATGGAAAAATGAACTATAAATTCGATATAAAATTATTTTTGACAAAATAACGAAACTCCCCACTCTCCTCGCATTTAGCGATCCGAGGGATCAAGAAAACTTGCGCGGATAATATTAGGTTTTGATATTTAAAAAGACGTGTGGACTCGTCTAAGAAAGTGTACTAGGATTTATTTAAATATGCGCGTGACGTAAATCAGGTGTTCACGGTTTCATCTAATCGAGAGCTTCAAAGTGACGCCACTAAAGCGACATCCAAGCGTCGATTGGATGAATCCGGATCAGCTGATTTACGTCAAGTGCGCGACAAATAAATCGTACTGTACGAGTACTATGCGAACGTATATTAACTATGCGAAACCAACAAAGAAACAAGATAAATATAATAGACATAAGCACAGGAGGGGGGTCATAGGCATACTGAAAATTTTAAGAAGTCCACGTAGTAAAACATTTTATTATCGTATCGTTAATTTCGAAATATTTTATTTCGTTATTTTCAATCCCTGATTTCCCTCCTTTTACTTTCAAATACATACGCATAAACAGTATACGGAGTAAAATAATAAGTAGTATAAACTTGTTGATTGATGATCTCGGACGCGTCAACTGCTAAGGTCATCACTGGCGTATTCAGGGGTGGGGGTGGGGGCTGATGCCCCTGCCCCCCAAAAAAGGCCAAGAGTTTTCATTTACCTTCCATTATTTAGCAAACTTGATTTAAATATTCATTTACGTTCGAATTATGTAATTATTTAGACAATAATATTGTGCAGTATTATCAATACAGTATATAAATAATATACAATATAATAACAAATATGTTTATTATATGACAAAAATCTATGATGGCCCCTCCAAAATGATCGGCTGGATCCGCCCCTGAAGATCATTAGTTCTGTAAATGTAGCACATGTTTTTAGCGTGAGAGGTGTGGCAGAATAAGTATGTATGTGAGTGTATGCAGAGGCGGATCCAGCCGATCATTTCGGAGGGGGCCATCGAACATAATTATTGTTAAATAATAAACATTTGTTATTATGTGATGTGTCATGTATGATACTATACAATATTTAAAAAAAATTATTTCATAATTCTTACAAATAAATATTTAAATCAAGTCTGCCATATAAAAGATGATAACAAACGAAAACTCTATTTTTTTGGGGGGGGGTATGGCCCACATGCCCGCCCCCTGGATCCGCTACTGTGTGTATGTGTGTGCGTGTGTGTAAGTAGGGGTGAGGATAGGTCAGGGAAGATGATAATCGGAGAGACGACGAATTCGACATCAGAGTAGCCGGTCGCTAGAATTCTCCTCTAGGCGGCGATCTCGCAATGTAGTTAGTGTCGAAAACCTGACACCGTGGGCACTTGAACCCTCGGCTCTCCCGGTCAGCGGCATTATAGCAGTGCTAGCCAACTCAACGCTCTGTGAGGTCACCAAAACTGCTCTCGGAACGGAGCGGTCGAGCAAAGGCAGTGCCCGACGCGGCGCCGGGCGTACAATGCTCCAACGAAGGTACGGAAGTGGTGAAAAAAGGTTCGCTCGATAATTACGTTTTTAAATGGTATTTATTATTTAAATGTTTATAATTCAATAGAAATATGAAAAAATAGAACGTAGATTATTTCATAACGCAATTCGACTCTATCGTAGCCAGTAATTCCTCTTCCATTCTTCTAACACATAACATTTATGGAGAAGACTGTTTTGAAATTCTAATACAATATTTTATAGGATGTTACGTAATATAACCATTTAGTTCGTCCTGAGCCAATAACGCAGGCACACAAAATAACGTCTGACCCAAAGACTTGACTAATGTTTCTCTACGCATGTCTAAGCGCTGAATACGAATCTGAGCCAGAAGTACGCCACCGCTCTCTAGTTCTTTAAAATTGTCAAACACTTGCCAATAGTAGATTGGTGTCTCAATTGGTATATTGTAGCATTATAATCTAGTGAAGTCAAAAGTTGTCAGAGCCAAGACTTGAGACATATTTTTGTGTGACAACGCTCTGTATCCGAAGCGAGAATTGCGCCACCACCTTCCAGTTTTTTAATTGAAAACAATTGCAATTTACAATTTCACGGTGGTATTTCGTGATTTAAAAAACAACAACTGGAGGGTGGTGTCGAAATTTTGGCTTCAGATTTGGATTCACCGCGTCGACATACATATAGAAACAAGTGTCAAGTCTGACAACCTTTCTTTTATTTTGGGTGCTTGTGTAATTAATGTTAACAAATAGATACCAGGGAGGGAGAATTGGAATTTCCAGGCTTGATTATTTCATGTACAGCTTTGTTTGAGAATGTTGTAAATTCTTGTAATTTTCATTACCTTTATCATAACCTTTTATCTTCAAAATCCTTTTCTCATTTCATGATTGCGGGCTATCTGTGAATTCTCAGAAATTATTTTCATCTCGGAAGGTTCACTGGGTTGCAAATCTGTGTAATGCCGTGTCAGTTAAACTTTTTAAAAATACTTCAGTTCTTTCGAATACAGTAAACACATCATTATTGTTACGGTATCTACAAAAAGAAACATTTCTTCCCAAATCGAAAGAAAATTAATGGGCGTAGATGGGCTCTCATGTTGCCTTAAATACATGGGCAAAGGCCCACTGCCACTGCCACGGTTGATTTTTGATGTTGAATAGTGCGAAGGACGTTTAAGAGAATTGTTTAGATCTCATTTTTGCTGACTTCTAAGATTTATCGAAAATTGCAATAAGTTTTAAAACAACAAAACTGAAGATAGAGGTTTTTTGCTGAGACGAAGTTTGTTGTACAAAATTAGGTCTCTAAAAAAAGGTCATGTACAATTATTTGTTAAAGTTAGTAGTTTTTGCGTAATTTGTGCTAGAAATTTACAAAAAAAAATGTTTCTTAAAAGCCGCTACAATTTTTTTTCTTAAAATTTTCTTCACATATGTAATAAAGGTCGGTAATAAACTTGGTTCTAGTCCTTTTTTCAGGTATTACTGTTTTTTTTTCGATAATTGCAAAATAATTTCAAAACTACAAAATTGAAGATATTTTTTCCTCAGAAAAAGTTTGTTGTAGAAAATTAGCTATTTAAATAAATAAATAAATAATAAATAAACTTGTGGTGTTATGGAATGACACAGACTTTCTCGCCCTAGTTAGTTTTCAAATCTCTCAACTCTTGACTAACTTTCTCGACAAGTCTCATTCTCTTTACGGCTGCTTTCATTTTGTCGCCCGAAAAACATATTTTTACGTTTTCTTAGTAGCAAAATTGGTGGGTATGGGCCTAGCTCTTCGGAGGGAACTTTGGCTGGCTCGTGCCTTGGCAGGGAGTGATTATTTGAGACAATTCTGTGTTGCCGCAGGAAATAATTATGCATTCCACAAACATCATGAAAAACCTTTTAAAGCAGTACTTATCGCAATTACTGATGATCAAGATAAACTGGAAGTGTCTATATCTAAATTTCGGTTTTTTAACTTTTAAACAATTTTTCACATCTCTTCATGGATTTGTAATACGTATGAACCATCAAACTAACTGTTGCCTTTCGGCGCTTATTACTATCAGAGATGTGCAAATTCTTTGGTTACCCCGGATGGCTTAAGTGATTAAATATTGAGTTCGGTTTGATCTTTTCGTTGACAAAGATTGCTGTTTCGAGGCTGGCTGAAGGCTAATTATTTGTAACAATTCTCTGTCGTTTTTAACCAGTTACCACGTATTTATCGCGTGGATTTATGCCTTCTGAGGTGCAATCTTTTTTAGCCCAAAAACATTTATTTTACATTTTGTTAATACTAATACTGCCGCTGCCTAATACTACAAAACTTTATTGAAACTCTCTTCAAGCATTTCTACTCACAAACGCATCATTACTAATACAAATAAACCGTATGTTTCTGCACATTCTTTTGCAATTTGTGACTTTGCAAAACGTATGTCACGTCAAACTAGTTGTTGAATTTCTGTACATGTGTATGAACCAATTTAAGTAAACTGACGAATCATCTATCGACAAGAAATTTACAGACATTATGAACACAAGCCATGTGACCAACTTAGATATTATTATTACTTTCTGGCCTTACGGGTTCTTCGTAAAAAGAGAAACTTAAGTAACCATTCGCCAGAAAATTCGACATTTCGCCAAAATAAACCTTATTGCCGAGATCTAGTAATGAAAAAGTGGATAAATCCTGTTGCTACATTTAGAAAAAAAAATTATAACTTGTGGTGTAGCCAGAATCCATGTTTTGTTGGTTCTTCATACCGAAAAAACGATTGCCGGCAAAAACTTCGTCTGTCTGTGGTTAACGCTAGCGCCTAAAATGTTCAGCTGATTTTCTTCAAAATTGATATTCCCTGATTGATCTAAACGGGCTGGAGAAGTTGGGAGTTTCTAACTAATATTTTGATTGTTGAAGTTCGTTTTACATGAATCGGGCATTTACCTTTCTATACCTTTGTCCGAATTCGATCCATGAGGCGCTTCTGTGGTGTAGTGGTATGAGTGCCAGCACGTTAACTCTGAGGATCTGAGTTCAGTCTCAGAGTGGTAAAATAATCTGCTGCTTGAATGCTCTTCTGCTGGACATGTAGTAGTGTAATGTTGCGGAGCTTTTAGAAACAATGCGAGAAAGTATGTGC